AAAAAAAACTTCAAATACAGAAATGAAAAATAGTCCATCATTTGCAAAAAAAAAACCTTGGTAAATTTAATTTGTGATTGAATTATTGCCTTAAACCATAATTGTATGATCAACACGACCGATACAACCGAATGACAAGAAGTCTTTCTAACAATGGTGTCTTGAATATTTATTGGTATCTCCAGAGCTCTGCTGTCTATGTGTTGACTGCTCTGCCCCTCACTGCCAAAAGACTGTCAGTCCAGTCTAGTGATTACCTCAGGCCCCTGTTTATGCAGGCATAAAGGGACTTTTCTAAGGCTGAGTGGACACACATCTTTTTTCAAAAGCTGGCTTGTCCAGACTTCTCTTGCCAGAAATTGTCTTGTGGGATCTGCTTGTTGATGTGTATGGGAGCGTGATGGAAGATCCATGAATGGAAGTCTTGGCTTGGAATGGCCCTGCTCTTCTGGTTCCAGGTCCCATTTTTATTTTCCTAATGAAAAATCCTGTAAGGCCTGATTTATTATCAGCGAGCAATGAAATGGACTATGTTTGTTAAGATTTGCATGGTTCTCCCGATCCTCTTACAGCTCATGTGTGATTTCAACCGGTTTTTGACTTGTTTAACAAGTTTCTTTCTTTCTTTAAATACACAAGATGTCCCACAATAGAGGCACATGGTCAAGTCAAGTCAAGTCACCTTTATTTATATAGCGCTTTTAACAATACAGATTGTGTCAAAGCAACTGAACAGCATTAATTAGGAAAATAGTGTGTCAATAATGCAAAATGACAATAGTAAACACTAATTTTCCAGTTAAAGACAGTTCATCATTGAATTCAGTGATGTCTTCATTCAGCTCAGTTCAGTTTAAATAGTATCTTTGCAATCATTTGCAATCAAGTCAACAATATCGCTGGAAATGAAGTGTCCCCAACTAAGCAAGCCAGAGGCGACAGCGGCAAGGAACCAAAACTCCATCGGTGACAGAATGGAGAAAAAACCTTGGGAGAAACCAGGCTCAGTCGGGGGGCCAGTTCTCCTCTGGCCAGACCAAACCAGCAGTTCAATTTCAGGCTGCAGCAAAGTCACATTGTGCAGAAGACTCATCTGGTTCCTGTGGTCTTGTCCCGGTGGTCGTCTGAGACAAGGTCTTTACAGGGGAATAACATCTGTATCTGGTGTTCATCTAGTTGTCCTGGTCTCCGCTGTCTTTCAGGGCTGTAGAGGTCCTCTCTAGGTGCTGATCCACCATCTGGTCTGAATACGTACTGGATCCGGGTGACTGCAGTGACCATCTGATCTGGATACAGACTGGATCTGGTGGGTTGTTTCAGGGTTGGCATCATCTGAGGTCCTCTGAGGGGTTGGCATCATCTCTTCTCAGGTGTTCTGGATCCAGACTGAAGCTTGTGTAAATCCTAGTTACATCCCGTGGCAAAAACAGAGAAACAAATAGGGACATAATTAGCGTAGCTGCTGTTCCAACCAAGCAAAATTTATTTGTTTAACCCAGGCTAAAGAATAATAATGTGCATTTGATCAGATATAACTGCAGTACAAGATTATGATATGCATTATTTGAATGCTTGGCCAAAGAGATGTGTCTTTAATCTAGATTTAAACAGAGAGAGTGTGTCTGAACCCCGAACGTTATCAGGAAGGCTATTCCAGAGTTTGGGAGCCAAATGCGAAAAAGCTCTACCTCCTTTAGTGTGCTTTGCAATCCTAGGTACTACCAAAAGTCCAGAGTTTTGCGACCTTAGGGAGCGTGATGGATTGTAGCGTGGTAGAAGACTAGTTAGGTACGCTGGAGCTAACCCATTAAGGGCCTTATAGGCAAGTAATAATATTTTGTAACTGATACGGAACTTAATAGGTAGCCAGTGCAGAGACTGTAAAATTGGGGTAATATGATCATATTTTCTTGACCTGGTAAGGACTCTAGCCGCTGCATTTTGGACTACCTGTAGCTTGTTTATTGAAGATGCAGGACAACCAGCTAGCAGTGCATTACAATAGTCCAGTCTAGAGGTCATGAATGCATGAAGTAGCTTTTCTGCATCAGAAACAGGTAACATATTTCGTAGTTTGGCAATGTTTCTAAGATGGAAGAATGCTGTTTTTGTAACGTGGGAAATATGATTTTCAAAAGACAGGTTGCTGTCTAATATAACACCCAGATTTTTGATTGTAGAGGAAGTAACCGTACATCCGTCTAGTTGCAAATTGTAATCCACGAGATTCTGTGTACTGTCTTTTGGTCCAATACGTAATATCTCTGTCTTATCCGAGTTTAATAGGAGAAAATTATTGGTCATCCAATCTTTTACATTTTTAACACACTCTGTTAGCTTAGATAATTTAGAAGTTTCATCTGTTGTCTTGTTGTAAATGATTTTCTCATTCTGCTTTATTTGCACCAGACTGCAGCTCCTCAGAGACAGACCAAACTCACAGTGACTGTGTTTCCCTCATCCTCTGATTGATCCGTCATGACCGGGCAGAGCGCCTGCGCGCCGGAGGAGGGCGCTATACGCATCAATGTGGGAGGATTCAGGCGGCGGCTGCTGTCCAAGCGACTCTCTCGCTTCCCCGAGACCAGACTCGCACGCCTGCTGAGGTGTCGGTCCAAAGAGTCCATCCTCGAACTGTGCGACGACTACGACGACTCTGAGAACGAGTTCTACTTTGACCGCAATCCGGCGCTCTTCCCTTATGTTTTACACTTCTACAACACGGGGAGGCTACACGTCATGGATGAACTCTGCATCTTCTCCTTCAGTCAGGAGATCGAGTACTGGGGAATCGACGAGCTGTTCCTGGACTCGTGCTGCAGCGGATCCTATCACTGCCGCAGGATGGAGCCCGAGGAGGCGGACTGGGACGACAAGAGCACCACTTCATCTTTTGATGAGATCCTGGAGTTCTACAACGATGCCGGTAAATTTGACAAGCAGCTGCTGGGAAGCGTCCGGCGGAGAATCTGGTTGATGTTGGACAATCCTAGCTATTCGATCCCCAGCCGGCTCATCAGTATCTTCTCCATTCTGGTGGTGGTGGGCTCCATAGCCACCATGTGCATGAACAGCATGAGCGAGTTCACACTGCTGGACGCCGACGGCGGGCCCCGCGAGGATCCTCACTTCGAGGCTGTGGAGCACTTCGGCATCGGCTGGTTCACGCTCGAGCTGCTGGCCAGATTCGCTGTGGCTCCGGACCTTCTGCGTTTCTTCGAGCACCCGCTGAACCTGATCGACCTGGTGTCCATCCTGCCCTTTTACTTGACCCTGCTGATGCACCTGGTGGCGGAGAGCGGCCCGGCGCTGGCGAACCTGGGCCGAGTGGCTCAGGTGCTGAGGCTGATGAGGATCTTCCGCATCCTGAAGCTGGCGCGTCACTCCACGGGCCTGCGCTCGCTCGGAGCCACGCTCAAGAACAGCTACAAAGAGATCGGCCTGCTGCTGCTGTATCTGGCCGTCGGAGTGTCCTTCTTCTCCGTCATGGCCTACACCGTGGAGAAGGAGGACAACGAGGGACTGAACACCATCCCGGCCGGCTGGTGGTGGGCCACGGTCAGCATGACCACCGTGGGATACGGCGACGTGGTTCCCGGCTCCGTCGTGGGCAAGTTGACGGCCTCGGCCTGCATACTCTCGGGAATATTGGTTGTCGTGCTTCCGATCACTTTGATATTTAATAAATTCTCTCTGTTTTATAAGAGACAGACACAGCTGGAGACCGTCATGCGGAGCTGTGACTTCGACGGGGGAATAAAGGAGGCTCCATCTGTGAATCTGAGGAATTATTATGCTCATAAAGTCAAAACACTGATGGCCAGTCTGTCCAACATGAGCTGCAGTTCACCCAGCGATCACAGTCTAAACATGTCTCTGCATTAGACGGGAACAGTGTGACGTCAGCAGGGCGTGTGTGTGTTTTCATCATGGATCTCACACCTAATTCTGATCTTAATAGCAAAACTCGCAGAACATCTGATCATAATAAGGGTGTGTGTATATACGAGCAGGAATGGGACACTCAGTGTAACAACTTCTTCAGCTGGGTTTTCTCTCAGCTTTCTCTCCCATTCTCCAGCATGCAAGTTTGAGGGAACAGCAGGTCTATACTGGTGGAAGTTTCAGGGGATTTAGCACTGAATCTCTCCCGGTTGCCACGATATATATATATATATAAGCGGTGACTTTTTTAACCGGTGATAAGAGTGATAAGACCCCCCCCCATCGGCTTTTAGGACACTCAAAAGGGATCACAGATGACAAATAGCTAAGAAACACCGTGGCAGGTGTCGATTTAAAAGTATGCACATTTCCTACCTTATTTGTAAATGAAATTCATCTCCAATCCTTCTTCTATCGTTTCAAGTTTATCCATTATTCGAATGCAAGAAAAATATAGCTGGTTTTCCAAGTAAAAACCACCAAATAACGTCTACACTGTAGTTACGTTATGATCAGGGGGTGGGGAGATGAGGGGATTCCCCCGCTCTATATGTCTCTGCATCTGCTAAATAATTTTTTTATTCCCAGTGAATAGGAGTTTTGAAAATGAGCAAGAGGGTGGCTAACCGCACACTGATCCACTCAAGACAAAAATGTCTACAAAAACATGAGAGCACTGAAGATAGCAATGTGCTGAAACGTTTGCTTGCTTGCTCGTGTCCATTTTTTTAAATTCACATGCACTTTGCACTTTTGCACAATGCAATTTATAAAAATTAAAAATATGTTTTTGTAGACTTTTTAGTCTTGAGTGGATCAGTGTGCGGTTAGCCACCCTCTTGCTCATTTTCAAAACTCCTACTGGCTCTACGCACCTGCAGTACAAGGAACTATTTGTTTATTTTTATTTTTTTGGAGCGCTACAATTTTCTCCAGTGAATAGGAGTTAAAACTCCCACCCGGGTGACACTACTCCAATAACAGACCTTGCAAAATACCAAAAAATATTTAAAATATTGCAAAGTAACATTGCAACCTTGCAAACAATAATAAAATCAGAGAAGGACTTTAACTGTAAGCGACACTAGCATACGCAAAACAAAGGGAACAATATGATGTTTGTTATTATTAAAATGTTATATAGCCCACGTTTTTATAAACTTTTTTTTTTTAATTTACCACTTAGGCAATAACGTTGACAATAAATCTTCAACATACGTTGTCTATGACCAAAAATGTAAGAAGATATGTTTTCAGTGGACTTTTAAAATTGGCTTTGCTTGAGAAAACAAAAATATACAGTTACAGTGTTTTTTTATTTTGATTTAGTCGAGTTGGTTTTGCATCAAACACAATGTAATTTTCGGCAATCGAGATCTGACAGCAACAGCACATTTTTCCGCTTGGGCTAGCGCTTCACAGACAGCTTACCTCGCGCATTACATCAGCCGCAGACCAGCAAATCACTGAGAACGCGCTACAATCCTGACGAGTCAGAGCAACAGAGCGGAGACGAGAAAGCTGCGGAGAATCCGCTCGCCCGGAAGCAACCGCAACTGGAAGATTTAAAGAAAATTACTGCCGTTTGGCAGATAAATCATTGTACGTACTTATTCCTAACTCTTTAAGCTTTAAGTTACATTTCAAATGTCAAGGGATCAACTTATAATCATGTTTATATGAATTATCCCGTGAACTTATTCTCTCAAATGGCCTGGGTATGCGGAGCATTCGCAGCTTATATGGACGGAACGCCACTGATATATATATATATATGCGGAGAGTTGAATGTTTTCTGTTTCGCTGTTATTCAGTAAAGTAAAACAACTGTAGTGACTAAATTTAATAGTACTGATACTATTTTGAGAAGCATCTGATAATGAAGGTTTATAGTCATCCAGGTAAATCTTCACACCGTCAGAGACACAACAACAGTCCATCTGAAATGAGCTTTGAAACAAATGCTTTTCAGTGAAGTTTTGAATGAATTTCACACATTCCTAAGGCAAACCAAATTTTCTGTTCTACAGTTGAGGTCATCAGTCAAGCTATCATTCTTCATTTGTTAGTATTGCTGTTGTTTAATTTGAATTGTAAATGCAGAATGTGATCCTGACCGATGGGGTCAGAGGTCAGACATCGTGCTGCATTAGAATCAAACAGTATATGCTCACATGTAAATGTCAAATATGTGTGTTTAGGTGTTTTCTGGTGTAATCTTTAAATGTGGATGTGAGGACAGAATCAGATTCATCACAGAATGTACTTGAGCTCATGTTCTGTGCTAGAAAGCGGTACATGACACCTGAATCAGCTAATAATGAGCACTAACGTGTTTGTTACCTGTGTGGATTTGTCATCTTTGTAGCTCATGATTTATTTTCTTTTTAAGACCACTGAGATTGCATTTTTCTCAGTGCATTTTTGCATTGTGACAGTATTTTCGTGAAACATTTACCCCCAAAATCTCATAACTCTAATGTGGAATAAAGTAAATGTCATTGTTGGATGTACAGCCTTATATTTATTTAACAAATCATTGTATAAATTCTGTGCTGCCGTGAGAAGAATCAAATGAAAACCATCATCTAAATCATGGCAATTACAAGAAACTTAAGCAGATTGTCTAGATGCATTACAGTAATAAGAGTTTATTGTTTTCTTTTTTTGCATTATGGTAATAATGATAATTGTCAAGAAAATAATTTTATTAATCTTAGTGGAACGTTATCATGATGCTTTTAAAAAAGGAGCTTCATTTTTTATATATAATACTCTTTTGATTATGAATTGACCTGGACAGATGGTTTGTGTTTAAATTTCCTAATAAAAGTCACACAGCTGATTTCCCACTGGTCCTGTCTTCTCTTTTTTTCTCTTCTCCTCCCCTCACTCCTCTCCTCCCCTCTACTCTCCTCTCCTCCTCCCCTCACTCCTCTCCTCCCCTCACTCCTCTCCCCTCTCTCCTCC